GACCCATAGACTCATATACAACAATGGAGACCCACAGAGACCCATAGACTCATATACAACAATGCAGACCCACAGAGACCCATAGACTCATATACAACAATGGAGACCCACAGAGACCCATAGACTTATATACAACAATGGAGACCCACAGAGACACATAGACTCATTACAACAATGGAGACCCACAGAGACCCATAGACTCACAGAGGCCCATAGACTCATATACAACAATGGAGACCCACAGAGACCCATAGACTCATATACAACAATGGAGACCCACAGAGACCCATAGACTCATATACAATAATGGAGACCCACAGAGACCCATAGACTTATATAGAACAATGGAGACCCACAGAGACACATAGACTCATTACAACAATGGAGACCCACAGAGACCCATAGACTCACAGAGACCCATAGACTCATATACAACAATGGAGAGCCACAGAGACCCATAGACTCATATACAACAATGGAGACCCACAGAGACCCATAGACTCATATACAACAATGGAGACCCACAGAGACCCATAGACTCATATACAACAATGGAGACCCACAGAGACCCATAGACTCATATACAACAATGGAGACCCACAGAGACCCATAGACTTATATACAACAATGGAGACCCACAGAGACCCATTGACTCATATACAACAATGGAGACCCACAGAGACCCATAGACTCATATACAACAATGGATACTCACAGAGACCCATAGACTCACAGAGACCCATAGACTCATATACAACAATGGAGAGCCACAGAGACCCATAGACTCATATACAACAATGGAGACCCACAGAGACCCATAGACTCATATACAACAATGGAGACCCACAGAGACCCATAGACTCATATACAACAATGGAGACCCACAGAGACCCATAGACTCATATACAACAATGGAGACCCACAGAGACACATAGACTCATTACAACAATGGAGACCCACAGAGACCCATAGACTCACAGAGACCCATAGACTCATATACAACAATGGATACTCACAGAGACCCATAGACTCACAGAGACCCATAGACTCATATACAACAATGGAGAGCCACAGAGACCCATAGACTCATATACAACAATGGAGACCCACAAAGACCCATAGACTCATATACAACAATGGAGACCCACAGAGACCCATAGACTCATATAGAACAATGGAGACCCACAGAGACCCATAGACTCATATACAACAATGGAGAGCCACAGAGACCCATAGACTCATATAGAACAATGGAGACCCACAGAGACCCATAGACTCATATACAACAATGGAGACCCACAGAGACCCATAGACTCATATACAACAATGGAGAGCCACAGAGACCCATAGACTCATATACAACAATGGAGACCCACAGAGACCCATAGACTCATATACAACAATGGAGACCCACAGAGGCCCATAGACTCACAGAGACCCATATACAACAATGGAGACCCACAGAGACCCATAGACTCATATACAACAATGGAGACCCACAGAGACCCATAGACTTATATACAACAATGGAGACCCACAGAGACACATAGACTTATATACAACAATGGAGACCCACAGAGACCCATAGACTGATAAACAACAATGGAGACCCACAGAGACCCATAGACTCATATACAACAATGGAGACCCACAGAGACCCATAGACTCATATACAACAATGGAGACCCACAGAGACCCATAGACTCATATACAACAATGGAGACCCACAGAGACCCATAGACTCATATACAACAATGGAGACCCACAGAGCCCCATAGACTCATATACAACAATGGAGACCCACAGAGACCCATAGACTCATATACAACAATGGAGACCCACAGAGACCCATAGACTTATATACAACAATGGAGACCCACAGAGACACATAGACTCATTACAACAATGGAGACCCACAGAGACCCATAGACTCACAGAGACCCATTGACTCATATACAACAATGGAGACCCACAGAGACCCATAGACTTATATACAACAATGGAGACCCACAGAGACACATAGACTCATTACAACAATGGAGACCCACAGAGACCCATAGACTCACAGAGACCCATTGACTCATATACAACAATGGAGACCCACAGAGACCCATAGACTCATATACAACAATGGATACTCACAGAGACCCATAGACTCACAGAGACCCATAGACTCATATACAACAATGGGGACCCACAGAGACCCATAGACTCATATACAACAATGGATACTCACAGAGACCCATAGACTCACAGAGACCCATAGACTCATATACAACAATGGAGACCCACAGAGACCCATAGACTCATATACAACAATGGAGACCCACAGAGACCCATAGACTCGTATACAACAATGGAGAGCCACAGAGACCCATAGACTCATATACAACAATGGAGACCCACAGAGGCCCATAGACTCACAGAGACCCATATACAACAATGGAGACCCACAGAGACCCATAGACTCATATACAACAATGGAGACCCACAGAGACCCTACAGAGACTCACACAGAAACACAGAAACCCACAGAGAAACCCACAGAGACCCATAATTGCCATCCCTGTTGTGTTGTTTGTATCGTTTGTTGTTGTAACTTACTGACCCCCCACCCACCCCCCCAAAAGAGCTTCATAGCTCATCGGATTTCACACCCCACTCATCCCCCCCCCCCCCCCATGCGTAGTTGTTTGTTGTTGTTATCCTTGATTATTTCGGTAAAGTCACGTAGATAAAATAACAAAAATGTTAAATTATAAATGAAAATAAATATTTTTAATTTGTATTTAGTTTAAAAAAAAAAATTCTAATTTTCTATATTCGTGACTTTACCGAAAGAACCAAGAACATGAATTCCTGCAGTCACGAAAGTTTTAAGTAATAAATGTGTTGTTTGTTGATGTTTGTTGATGCATGTTGTTGACGCGAGTCGACTGCATATGGCGGCCCTCTGGCTTCACGCGCCCGCCGCCTACGTCACGAGGCTGGGCACGTGACGCCGGGGAGCGGTGGCGGTCGTGTTAGGAGAGTTCCTTTTTTTAGCAGAGAGACACGGGGACAGAGAGAGAGACACACACAGAGAGGGACGGAGAGACACGGAGAGACACAGAGAGGGACGGAGAGACACGGAGAGACACGGAGAGGGACAGAGAGAGACAGAGAGGGACAGATAGGGACAGAGAGACACGGAGAGATACAGAGAGACACGGAGACAGAGAGACACGGAGACAGAGAGAGACACGCGGAGACAGCGGACGCTGTGGGAGTACGCTTCACCCAAGGTGAGACAAGACGCAGAGAGAGACACCGGGCTGGTGGTGGTGGGACAGGAGAGAGACAGAGAGAGACACCGGGGAGAGACAGGAGGGGTAGACACGGGGAGAGACACGGAGACACGGAGAGAGACACGGAGACACGGGGAGAGACAGAGAGACACGGAGACACGGGGAGAGACACGGAGACACGGGGGTAGACACGGAAGCACGGGGAGAGACACGAGGGGCAGTAACTTTATTGAGGCCGGAACGCGGAAACCCAGCGACAGAGAGAGCAGTGGGGAAGGCAGAAGTCGCGGGGACACGGAGACACGGGGACATGGAGACACGGGGACAATGAGACACGGAGACACTGAGACACTGAGACGCGGGGACACGGAGACACTGAGACACGGGGACACGGAGACACGGAGACATTGAGACACGGGGACACGGAAACACGGAGACACTAGACACTGGGACACTGAGACACGGAGACACTGAGACACGGGGACACGGAGACACGGGGACACTAGACACTGGGACACGGAAACACGGAGACACTAGACACTGGGACACTGAGACACTGGGACACGGAGACACGGAGACACTGAGACACGGGGACACGGAGACACGGAGACACTGAGACACGGGGACACCGAAACACGGAGACACTAGACACTGGGACACTGAGACACTGAGACACGGGGACACGGAGACACGGAGACATTGAGACACTGAGACACGGGGACACGGAAACACGGAGACACTAGACACTGGGACACTGAGACACGGGGACACGGAAACACGGAGACACTAGACACTGGGACACTGGGACACTGAGACACTGAGACACGGGGACACGGAGACACGGGGACACTGAGACACTGAGACAAGGGGACACTGAGACACGGGGACACTGAGACACGGGGACATGGAGACACGGAGACACTGAGACACGGGGAGAGACACGGGGGAGACACGGGGGAGACACACCGAGAGACACACGGAGACACACGGTGGGAGACACACCGAGGGAGAGACAAACGGTGGGAGACACACGGTGGGAGAGACACGGAGACACACGGTGGGAGACACACCAAGGGAGAGACACGGTGGGAGAGACACGGAGACACACGGTGGGAGAGACACGGTGGGAGAGACACGGAGACACACGGTGGGAGACACACCAAGGGAGAGACACGGTGGGAGAGACACGGTGGGAGAGACACGGTGAGAGAGACACGGTGGGAGACACACCGAGAGACACACCGAGACACACGGTGGGAGAGACACACGGTGGGAGACACACGGTGGGAGACACACGGTGGGAGAGACACGGAGACACACCAAGGGAGACACACGGTGGGAGAGACACGGTGGGAGACACACGGTGGGAGAGACACGGTGGGAGACACACCAAGGGAGAGACACGGTGGGAGAGACACGGTGGGAGAGACACGGTGGGAGAGACACGGTGGGAGAGACACGGTGGGAGACACACGGTGGGAGACACACGGTGGGAGACACACCAAGGGAGAGACACGGTGGGAGACACACGGTGGGAGACACACGGTGGGAGAGACACGGTGGGAGAGACACGGTGGGAGAGACACGGAGACACACCAAGGGAGACACACGGTGGGAGAGACACGGTGGGAGAGACACGGAGACACACCAAGGGAGACACACGGTGGGAGACACACGGTGGGAGAGACAGACGTTGGGAGACACACCAAGGGAGAGACACGGTGGGAGAGACACGGAGACACACCAAGGGAGACACACGGTGGGAGACACACGGTGGGAGAGACAGACGTTGGGAGACACACCAAGGGAGACACACCAAGGGAGAGACACGGTGGGAGACACACCAAGGGAGAGACACGGTGGGAGAGACACGGAGACACACGGTGGGAGACACACGGTGGGAGAGACACGGTGGGAGAGACACGGAGACATCGCGATGTCTCGACGTCTACGGGACGACGTGGACGAGCTGACGCCGCCGCAGGTGCCACTTTGGAAACGGGAACTCCTCGACAGACGGAGGAGGAAGGGGGTGCCTGACATTTTGAGCCACCACCTTCATCAGCAGAAGCAAAAGCAGCAGCAGCAGCAGCAATGCCAGCAGCAGAATCAGCAGCAGCAGCAGCGGCAACAGGAAAACCACCACCTCCAGCAGCAGCAGCAGCATCAACATCAGCAGCAGCAGCAGAATCATCATCAGCAACATCAGCATCAACATCAGCAGAAGCAGCAGCAGCTGCAGCAGCAGAATCATCATCAGCAGCAGCAGCATCAACATCAGCAGCTGCAGCAGCAGCAGAATCATCATCATCATCAGCAGCAGCAACATCAGCAGCTGCAGCAGCAGCAGCAGAATCATCATCAGCAGCATCAGCACCAGCAGCAGCAGCAGCAGCAGGAAAACCACCACGTTCAGCGCCACCACCACCACCACCACAACCGCCGCCACCACAACCACAACCACGGCCACCACGACGGGCAGCACGATTCGGCGGCCGCGTCGGACGGCGAGGAGGTGCTGGTGCTGCAGGAGAAGCTGCGCCCCGTGCGGGAGAATCCCTTCGTGACGCGCGAGCGTCGTCAGCGACGAGGGGCCGCCTCTCCGCCGCTGCCATCGTCGCCGTCGTCGTCGTCGTCCCAGGACCCGCTGCTTGACCTCTACAGCCACATCCCGGGCATCCGCACCATCCGCGCCGACAACATCATCATCATCGAGTCCGACCCGGACTACTACCTGCCGCGGACTAAAACGTCGGCGGGGTCGGCCGCCGCCACCGCCGCCGCCGCCGCCGCCGCCGCCGGCCCTCCGGCCGCGGCCACGATCGTGGCCCGGGAGGTCGTGGTGATCCGCGCGGCGGAGCGGGACGGCCGCGACGACGGGGAGGAGGCCCGGCCACCCGCCGACGGCGCCGACGGCGGCGGCGGCGGCGGCGGCTTCACGCTTCAGGGCCGCGTCAGCAGCCTCCTGTCGAGGTTCGACGGGCCCCGCGGCCGCTCCGGGGAGCCCGGCAACACGTGGGGGGCGCGGCGGTCGGCCAGCGCCGACGACCTGCTGAGGGCGGGCGGCGGCGGCGAGCGGGGCCGGGGACCGCGGGGTAAGCGGCACGGGTCGCCGGACGCGGCCCCGCGCGCCCGCAAGTCCGCCGCGGTCGCGGCGAGCCGCCCGCGTTCCCGGCCGACGCTGCCGCCGCTGCCGCCGCCATCGCCGGCGGCGAAAGGAGGCCCCGGCGGGGGCCGCCCGGAGGGTTCCCTGGCGAACGTCGCCGCGGGCCGGGACCCGGGCCTCGCCTCGCCTCGCGGCGGCGCCGCGGAGGAGCCCGGCAGCCCCTTCACGACGCGGTCGAAGAATTCGTTCACCGTGCACCCGGAGAAGAACGCCGGCCTGCACCCGCCGGCCACGTCCGCCGGGAACGCCTCCCCGAGGTCGCCGGATCGGGTAAAACCGTCGCTGCCCGGCGGGAGGCCCGGGCCGCGGGGACAGAGAGGCGGCGCCGATTCGGCGACGGGGCCTAAATCCCCGACGGCACGGAGCTACGAGCCGCCGCGGCCGCCGCCGGCGGCGACCCAGGGCTCGAAATCCCGGACGTCCGCCTCCCACGGCCTCCATTCGGCCTCCTCCCCGCCGTCCTCGCCCTCGGTCCGGGGCCCCGAACCGGGGCCGCCGTCGCCCACCGCCCGCGGCCCCCGCGTCCTGTCGGGGCCCAACTTTGAGATCCGTCCGGCGGTGCGACCGGACCCGGCCGCCGTGGCCTCCGGGGACAGGCAGGCGCGGGCCCTTGCGAGTCTCCGCGCCGACTCCGGCTACTCCATCACCGTCATCCCCAAGCCGCGCCGGGTCGCCGAGCGGGCCGCCGACGTGCGCGGGGGCAGGGAGCCGATGCCCGACGCCAAGCCGGCGTCGGCGCCGCCAGCTGCCGCCCCGGCGCCGGAATCGCCGCCGCCGCCGCCGCCGCCGCTTTCTCCCAGGCCGCCCGTCGTCTCGTCCCCCACCTTCGTCCGGCGGCCGGCCGCCGCCGCCATTCCGCCCCTGCCGTACCAGGCGCCGCCGTCCCCTCCGTCGGCCCGGGGGGCGGCCCCTTCGCCCGTCCCTCCGGCCTCCCCTCCGTCGGCCAGGAGCCCCGGGCCTTGCCCGGCCTCCGCCGCGGAAGACGCGACACAGGACGCGCCGCTGCCCGAGTCGAACATCGACGAGGTGATCGTACGGCTCCAGGACGGCCCGGGGGTCCTCGGCAAGCGCGGCGGCGGCGGCGGAGGATCATCGGGGGGTGCCACCATCACCAAGGGGCTGGGCAATTCCTACCGGATCACGCCGGCGCCACGGAAGCCGGCGGTCCCCGACGCGGGACGCGCCGAGGTGGACGCGGGGACACCGGCGGGCGCATTGGAGAACACCCACACGCCGCTCGGCCTGCTGGTGAAGAAGCGGTTCCCGCCGGCCGACGAGATTGAGGTGATCGGTGGCTACCAGCGCCTGGGCAAGTCCTGCCTCCTGTCCAGCGCCCGCAACAAGAAGGTGAGAGGGGTACGACTTGGCACTGCGGCCACGTTCGCCGCTTGCCCCCCGGGCACTGCGGCCACGTTCGCCGCTTGCCCCCCGGGGCACGGCACTGCGGCCACGTTCGCCGCTTGCCCCCCGGGGCACGGCACTGCGGCCACGTTCGCCGCTTGCCCCCCGGGGCACGGCACTGCGGCCACGTTCGCCGCTTGCCCCCCGGGGCACGGCACTGCGGCCACGTTCGCCGCTTGCCCCCCGGGCACTGCGGCCACGTTCGCCGCTTGCCCCCCGGGGCACGGCACTGCGGCCACGTTCGCCGCTTGCCCCCCGGGCACTGCGGCCACGTTCGCCGCTTGCCCCCCGGGCACTGCGGCCACGTTCGCCGCTTGCCCCCCGGGCACTGCGGCCACGTTCGCCGCTTGCCCCCGGGCACGGCACTGCGGCCACGTTCGCCGCTTGCCCCCCGGGGCACGGCACTGCGGCCACGTTCGCCGCTTGCCCCCCGGGGCACGGCACTGCGGCCACGTTCGCCGCTTGCCCCCCGGGGCACGGCACTGCGGCCACGTTCGCCGCTTGCCCCCCGGGGCACGGCACTGCGGCCACGTTCGCCGCTTGCCCCCCGGGGCACGGCACTGCGGCCACGTTCGCCGCTTGCCCCCCGGGCACTGCGGCCACGTTCGCCGCTTGCCCCCCGGGCACTGCGGCCACGTTCGCCGCTTGCCCCCCGGGGCACGGCACTGCGGCCACGTTCGCCGCTTGCCCCCCGGGCACTGCGGCCACGTTCGCCGCTTGCCCCCCCGGGGCACGGCACTGCGGCCACGTTCGCCGCTTGCCCCCGGCTCTGCGGCCGCACTCACCACACGCGCTGCATCGCAGAACTTACACGGCCAACTTTTCAGTCTCGCTCACCAGGCGCAGTGCTCATTTCAGGCCAAGCCAACCTAGACGTGGGAGGGAGGATGCCCCGGGGCGGCGGCAGGGTCGGTGGCCCGCTAACGGAATTCGCGCGCGGGTGTGCCAGGCTTTCGCTGCCCAAGAGGCAAGTTGCTCCTCGGTCGAAGGGGGCTTTTTCGGGGATCGCCGAGACGTTCGCAAAGAAATGAATTAAAAAAAAAAACTTGGCAGTGCCGAGCCCAAAAAAATACACCGATTCACGAGAAATTCACAAGAAGTCGATGCAAAATCGGTTCACAATCGGTGCACAATCAATTCACAATTATATAAATTCACAATCAATTCACAATCCATTTACAACTTGGCAGTGCCAAGCCAAAAATAAATCCATTCACAATAACCAATTCACAATCAATTCACAACTATCAATTCACAACGTGGCAGTGCCCTGCCAAGAATAAATCAATTCACAACTTGGGTCTGCCAAAACAAAAATATATCAAATTTACAATCAAGTCACAATTAATCAATTCACAATTAATAAATTCACAACTTTAGCAGTGCCAATCAAAGCATAATGAATAAATTCACAATACATTCACAATGAATCAATTGACAATGCATTATTAATCAATTTATAATGAATCATTTCACAATCAATTCACAATCCATCAATTCACAATCAATTCACAATCAATTCACAATACATCAATTCACAATCATTTCACAATCAATTCACAATCCATCATTTCACAATCAATTCACAATACATCATTTCACAATCAATTCACAATCCATCAATTCACAATCATTTCACAATCAATTCACAATCAATTCACAATCAATTCACAATCAATTCACAATCAATTAACAATCATTTCACAATCAATTCACAATCAATTCACAATACATCATTTCACAATCAATTCACAATCCATCAATTCACAATAATTTCACAACCAATTCACAATCATTTCACAATCAATTCACAATCAATTCACAATACATCGTTTCACAATCAATTCACAATACATCAATTCACAATAAATGCACAATACATCAGTTCACAATCATTTCACAATCAATTCACAATCCATCATTTCACAATCAATTCACAATACATCATTTCACAATCAATTAACAATACATCATTTCACAATTAATTCACCATCCATCAATTCACAATCATTTCACAATCAATTCACAATCAATTAACAATACATCAATTAACAATCAATTCACAATCATTTCACAATCAATTCACAATACATCAATTCACAATAAATGCACAATACACCAGTTCACAATCATTTCACAATCAATTCACAATACATCATTTCACAATCAATTCACAATCCATCAATTCACAATCATTTCACAATCAATTCACAATCAATTAACAATCAATTCACAATCAATTAACAATCATTTCACAATCAATTCACAATCAATTCACAATACATCATTTCACAATCAATTCACAATCCATCAATTCACAATCATTTCACAACCAATTCACAATCATTTCACAATCAATTCACAATCCATCATTTCACAATCAATTCACAATCAATTCACAATACATCATTTCACAATCAATTAACAATACATCATTTCACAATTAATTCACAATCCATCAATTCACAATCATTTCACAATCAATTCACAATCAATTAACAATACATCAATTCACAATCATTTCACAATCAATTCACAATACATCAATTCACAATAAATGCACAATACACCAGTTCACAATCATTTCACAATCAATTCACAATCCATCAATTCACAATCATTTCACAATCAATTCACAATCAATTCACAATACATCATTTCACAATCAATTCACAATCAATTCACAATACATCATTTCGCAATCAATTCACAATCCATCAATTCACAATCATTTCACAATCAATTCACAATCCATAATTTCACAATCAATTCACAATATATCATTTCACAATCAATTCACAATACATCATTTCACAATTAATTCACAATCCATCAATTCACAATCATTTCACAATCAATTCACAATCAATTAACAATACATCAATTCACAATAGCAAATTGAACAGCGGTCACGCACGTGGTGTTAACGACTGTTGAGTAGGCCACACCGACGCCGCGGCCTTGTCTAGATCGCCTGCCGGCTTCGTGCGAGCGACCCCCCGCCACCACCCCGCCCTAGGACGGTGCCCTCCAGAGTGGTCGGGCTCGTGGGCGTCTCGTGGACGGCCACGGTGGTGGTGGTAATGAGGTTGTTAAGCCATGATGAGGTTGGTCATCGGTGGTGATGAGGTTCAGCGAAGATGATGCTAACATTGTCCATAGACTTAACATTGTCCATAGACTTACATTACCCTTAGACTAACATTGCCTATAGACTAACATTACCCATAGACTTAACATTGTCCATATACTTAACATTGTCCATAGACTTAACATTGTCCATAGACTAACATTACCCATAGACTTACATTACCCATAGACTAACATTACTCATAGACTCACATTGCCCATAGACTTACATTACCCATAGACTTACATTGTTCATAGACTTACATTGCCCATAGACTTACATTACCCATAGACTAACATTGCCCATAGACTCACATTGCCCATAGACTCACATTGCCCATAGACTTACATTACCCATAGACTAACATTGCCTATAGACTAACATTGCCCATAAACTTACATTACCCATAGACTAACATTACCCATAGACTCACATTGCCCATAGACTTACATTACCCATAGACTAACATTGCCCATAGACTTACATTACCCATAGACTAACATTACCCATAGACTTACATTACCCATAGACTTACATTGTTCATAGACTAACATTGCCCATAGACTTAACATTGCCCATAGACTTACATTGCCCATAGACTAACATTACCCATAGACTAACATTACCCATAGACTTACATTACCCATAGACTTACATTGTTCATAGACTAACATTGCCCATAGACTTAACATTGCCCATAGACTTACATTACCCATAGACTCACATTACCCATATACTAACATTGCCCATAGACTAACATTACCCATAGACTTACATTGCCCATAGACTAACATTGCCCATAGACTAACATTACCCATAGACTTACATTACCCATAGACTTACATTACCCATAGACTTACATTACCCATAGACTCACATTGGCCATAGACTAACATTACCCATAGACTAACATTTCCCATAGACTAACATTGTCCATAGACTAACATTACCCATAGACTAACATTGCCCATAGACTAACATTGCCCATAGACTAACATTGCCCATAGACTTACATTACCCATAGACTAACATTGCCCATAGACTTACATTACCCATAGACTAACATTGCCCATAGACTTACATTACCCATAGACTAACATTGCCCGTAGACTAACATTACCCATAGACTTACATTACCCATAGACTAACATTGTCCATAGACTAACATTACCCATAGACTAACATTGCCCATAGACTAACATTGCCCATAGACTTACATTGCCCATAGACTAACATTACCCATAGACTAACATAGCCCATAGACTTACATTACCCATAGACTAACATTACCCATAGACTAACATTGCCCATAGACTTACATTGCCCATAGACTAACATTACCCATAGACTAACATTGCCCATAGACTAACATTGCCCATAGACTTACATTACCCATAGACTTACATTACCCATAGACTAACATTGCCCATAGTCTAACATAGCCCATAGACTAACATTACCCATAGACTAACATTACCCATAGACTAACATTACCCATAGACTAACATTGCCCATAGACTAACATTGCCCATATACTTACAGTACCCATAGACTAACATTACCCATAGACTAACATTACCCATAGACTAACATTGCCCATAGACTAACATTGCCCATAGACTAACATTACCCATAGACTAACATTACCCATAGACTTACATTGCCCATAGACTAACATTACCCATAGACTTACATTGCCCATAGACTTACATTGTCCATAGACTAACATTACCCATAGACTAACATTACCCATAGACTAACAATGCCCATAGACTTACATTGTCCATAGACTAACATTACCCATAGACTAACATTA